TGGCCCGATTCAACTGCCCTCCCCTGTTGGCCCGGTCAACCCCAAATGCTCTCCCCTGCATATTCCCTCTTTATTAGATAGGGTTTTTTTCTTTAACATATTGGACAGTGTACTGGCCGTGGTCTTAACAAACCAGTAAAAATGTAAACCCGAACTAAAAGTGTCATAAAATAAACTCCTTAAACAGGAATTTCATGAGACTTTGGAAAGGTGATATCATGGTTGTTTCTTCCTTTTTTCCTTCTCTTTCTTTTCCTTGATGTTTCATCTTTTATCCTTTCTTTTATCCTTTTATTACTTTTCTGTCTCTAATCACTGTGCTGGGGGCAAGGGGAATTCCAAGGCTATAGGTGTGTGTGGGGTCACTCCATGGGGGCGCAGGCCCTTTGGAGGCTGACACCCCAGGCTGCCCCAGGGAAGGGAGAGCTCTTGGGGGCACAGCTGACTCCCAGGCCTACACCCCCGGCTGTGGGAGGAGGGAGGAAGGGAGTAGGCAGTTGCGGGCGCCTCCCAGACCCTCAGCCCAGGCGGAGGTTAGGAGCAGATTGTGTCTGGCAGTTGGGGGGTGGAGGGGTGCAGCCACTGTCCAGGCCATGGATAGGATCGCCACTGGGAGCGGATTGTGAAGGGTGTGCACCACCTCCCAGGCCTAAGGCCCAGGTCATGGCTGGGAGAAGATATCATGGGGAGAAGGCAGGGAGGGCACGCGCTACCTTCCCGGCTGACAGCCCAGGTCACGGGGTGGGAGTAGATCACGCTGGGGGTGCGCGCTGCCTCCCAGGTCTATTTCCCAGGTTACAACTGGGAACGGATGGTGCCCGGGGGTGTGGGGGGGTGTACGCATCTGCCTCCAGGCCACTGCCCAGGTTGCGGCTGGGAGCTGATCACGCCAGGGGTGCAGAGGCACCCCCCAGGCCAATAGCCAGGGCCTCATGCTTCCTGCTCTCAGCGGCAGCTCTCCCTGGGTCTGAGAGGACTGGACGCTACCATCTTGTGTCTATGGATACCGCAATTTGGTTGCAGAGTGATGGCTAACTTGCATATTATTTTTATTAGATAGGATTTATTGAAACTTTCATTCTGATCAATCAAATCAGGTGAATTGTTAGGAAAGTAAACCATTTTCTTAAACAGAATAAAAGTATCATTAATATTAGACACATCACTTGAAAGGAAATTAAGGACTACATCTAAGACAATTCCCTAAAACACACACAGATACACACACACACACACACACACACACATAACATGCACATGCCAAAGTTATGCTATTAGAAAACAAAATATTCATAATTGAAGTTAAAGTCTCAGAAATCTACAAAACATTCGCCACTATACTGTACCTTCAAAATACTTAAATATTTTAATTTACTAAATATCACATAAACCTTGGAAGTTCCTTTAAATTTCACTGTTAAGTTTATATCCTTTTTATAACAGCAACACAGAGTGAACAATGAACCATAATTAACTACATGAAGACTGTATCCAAAAGGAAAACCTAGAATGCAGAATATATTTGAATACAATTTTTTTCATTACATTCAGCCTTAAATTCTTCTATTAAAAAAAATCACCTTTCAAACAAATGCACTTGAATTCTCCCAAAGATAGAACAGAATGAATTAGAACTAGGAAACAGAGGGGAATATGAAAGGCAAGATGGAAAATTAATGGCAGACCTACAGAAACCAATTTATGCCTATACTCATGATACAACAAGAGCATAGCACATCATTAAGAAAATCACATGAACAGTAGTTCTATCTTCCAATAATGTAAAAAAAAACAAAAAACCTACAATTTAACTATATTGCTCATAACTATGAAAGAACAATTATTCTAAAAACAATGATTAAACACTGAAGGAAACAATGATTTAACACTGAATAAAACAATGATTTAACACTGAAGGGAAAAAAGGTGAATTATCCAACATATTAACCACCCATCCAAAACGGAAACCAACCCTACATCTTGTTTTTATTCTATAGATTCTTATGGTATAAAAGAGCTATAAGAGGTTTTTAAATCATAGTGCTAAGCATCAGACACCCTTTCCTCTCCCCTACTCTTAAAATGCAAAAACATCTCATTTTGTTCCCATTAAAGGCAAAAATCTATTCCCAGTTTTAATTTTTGTTAGCTTCCTGATCTTACCTCCCTGACCACTTTGTAGAAAACAATTTTTAAAATAGCAATTAATCTAAACAAAAGGCCTATCTAAAACCAAGGCCAGAAAGATTAAAAATGACCTCTGGATTTTTCCTGCCGACACCAACCCAGTGACTAAAAATTAGAATTTCATTAAGTTTTTTGAGGAAAGGAGAGAGGCAAATTTAAAATTATTCAAATTTAACATTTCTATTATCTGATTTGTATGTCATGGTTTTCTTAATAACTGTAATAAGACTTCAATGATTAATTTTAAATATTATTTTAATTTACCTGATAGCACTGCTCTCTTAACTTTAAATCATCTACCTATTTTTAGTAAAAGGCGAAAGATTTATGCGGTCTGAAGAGAAACCAGAGCATCATCATCTACCTATTTTTAAAAAAACCTATGTAAAAGGCTAGGATCTGACTATCTAAATACAATGACTTATATGATTTGAAAACAAAGAGGGCCTATATGAGAATTAAACCAGAAATAAACTTTTGTCATTTTGAAAAGATTCAATTATCAAGTACATCACAATTTTTAAGAGTTCTATCTAAACATTCTATTTATTCTAAACATTTTTGTATCCCTTCCCTCGCATACCACCTAGAAAATTCACATTTTGCACATTCAATACCAATAGTCTTGTCTCAGGCAGCTAAACTGAAGTAGTTCCACTCTCAGTTCAATTGAGAGGTCAACCTGCCTCAGTTGCCTGGAGACTGATGGTGGCTACAGCAGCACCAGATAAGCCAGGCTAACAAAGCTGCAACTTAAAGGCAGAAAGCTTTACTGCTGGACTGAAACATAGATAGATACAGTTGTCTCCGCATGTAGCTAGCATTTGATTCTAACTGGCTGATTACATTTATAAAAGACCCATCTTATTGCAACATGGAAAGAGTATAAACACTAAAGATTTTAATTGGACTGAATCCTGGATTACTTGCAATTGTGATTTCTTTGTTCTTTAGTTGTGTCATATGTTAAGTGGAATTTTCCCTCAAGCTATAAATTTCTCTTTACCACCATTTCCCCCATTGACCTCCCTAATGCCAATTCCTAAAACCACAAACATAATGAATAAGAAGAAATGAGATTTTTGCTTAAATCAACCTGGAATTAACCAGAGAGTAATTAAAACAGACTTTATAAAGAAAGAAAAATGCACAGTGAAAATGTTCCTATGAGACTTTATCCAAGAATATAAAGCTATCAAGAGCATATGGCTATACTCAATTCAAATTAAAAGAGATAAAATAAAAACATAAAGATATTTATCTTTTTACCCTATCTCCAAATCCCTACAAAGGGATTATGGCAACTTCACTAAGGCTAGTGAAATATCCTAAAGAAGAACTCTCCTAAACCAATCAAACTCCACTTATTCAGGTAAAGAGGCTCACCAAATAGTTAACTTTCATTTTCAAAGATAATACCACTAATCATGCCATTGATTTTCTGTGACCAACTGTCTGTTGTTTATTCTAATATGTAACCTAATTATAATGGTGATTGTTTATGCTGCACTATTATATACTTTAAAAATTACAATGCTATGCTTTGATGTACAGCCTACAGATAATACTAGGAAAGTATCTACATTCTAAAGGCCCATACAATGGAAATTATGAAGATATGCATAAAGCATAAGTTTACAACAAGTTACAAACAACTATTTAGTTTTTTGTAATTAGACATTTATCACTGTTAATAATCTTCTCAAAATGTTAACACACTTACTTCTAGAGCTTTGTATAAAATAAAAGTAAAAAAATAAAGAATTTCAAATAAATGAATATTTTATATACTTTAGGAATTTTAATATATTGCCTTTAGGGAAATGTGGGGGTAGGAATAGGCTGGAGAAGAGGTGTGTGTGTACATAGCTTTGCCCATTTGCTATCCTTTTTATTCAAGATCATGATTTTTCTGATTTGACTCTTGCTTTTAAAGCATTCCCATAGATTAACTAGATCACCTATCAAATTACAGATCAAAAGTGGAAGAAAAGCATAAATAAAAAACCAACAGCATAGTCACCATTATTCACAATATTTATGAACATTCCTCCTCTGCCACTAGGAGGAAAGTCATTAGTACTTAAAGGGATCTTTTACTCTTTATTCTATATTCACTTTTTATCCTATACTAGAGGTCCATTGCACGATATTCGTGCAAGAATACGACCCTGGCTTTACTCCCAGCTGCCCAGGAGCCGGCACGTTCCGCTTCTCAGCTCCCCGGCTCCCCGCCGGCCGCCTGCACGTCCTCGCTTCTGTCTGAAGCACCACTCCAGTAGCTCTCTCCACCCTCACTTCCCCACACAGCAGGCTTCTCTCCATTCTGTGCCTGTATATGCAAATTAACCTCCATCTTTGTTGGGTTAATTTGCATACTCACTCTGATTGGCTGTGGGCGTAGCAGAGTGATAGTTGCATGTTCCTCTTTTATTAGGTAAGATTCTCTTACATTGGTTTTTAAAAACTTAGCAGATATTCAGACATTATTTGTGTGGGTTTTAAAATTGTAAGTTTAATTCCACAAGTCCAAAATTGGTCCAAAGTTCTTTTAAAAAGTCCAACTTTCTAAAAGAAATAATAACACCACCCCACAAATTACTATTTTACATCATTAAAAAAAAACTTAGAAACTCAGAAAATAAGCAGTTGGCACCAACATTTGTCTCATGCGTATCATGTAAAAAATGTCTATGATTTCCACTAAAATGTCAATACAAATTCCTATAGGAAACCCTTTCTCATTTCTTTCTCCTCCAATCAAACTCACTTTCAAAACTGATAACCCATCTTCGTGTTATTTTATAATGTACCTGAGTTGTAGCAACTGTAGGGGTTGCAGATGACGCCACTGACGGGGACAGAGCTCCCACTTGTTGCAAATGCCCAGAAGACTGCTGAGGTAAATGAGAACTGGAGACAGGAGTACTAGATCCTGAGCCAGATACTAGATTTGGAAATGATACTGCTACATCATTGCTGTTATAAATACCTGAAAGAAAAGAAATTTTACAACTTAGCGATGAAATCTGTCACAGACACACATTAATCAATAAGTTAGAATACCCACATTTCCTCCTGATCCCTCCTCCAATGACAAATTTTATTGGTGGTACGGTAAAAAAAAAAAAAAAAAAAAAAAAAAAAAGGTACCAGAGACTAAATATTGATTTTTTAAAAACATTTTAAAAAATATATATACTTTAAAATATTTATAATGGCTTTGGCAATAGACAGGGATCACATCAGGAATTACTTTGTAAAAGAGCAATGAAATGTTTTTAAGTAGAAGAACAAAGCAATCAGAGTTGCATAAAAAGCACTTGGTCTGCTTTTAAAATGCAGATACTAAAGCCTCAGAACTCATAATTGAGAGGAGTGAAATGGGAAAAGACTTTGTTTTAAAAAGGTCACCTATGCTAAAATGTAGAAAATAAAATGGAGGAGGACTAGACTTGAGATTCAAAGACCAAAAAAGAGCTAATGACATTGTGGTGCACAGCTGTGAGGATAAACAACAGGTGGATTCTAGGGATATTTAAAAGGTAGAATAGATAGGGCTTTGACTGAGTAAAGGGGGTGCAGAGGTGGGGGGTGGACACAGAGGACTACTGGGTAGTGGTAACAGTCTCTTCAAGGATCAAAGAACACAGTGGTACCATGGTAAAGGTTAGAAAGGAAGGGGAAATGAGAGTGGAAGCAAGTTATTCTCAAAAAGTGGATGGGAAGAGGAGAAAAAAGAAAAAAATATATTAGAGAGCAAACACAGAGCTATGGGGGGGGGGGGGGTTGTTTTCTGCTGTGTTTTTTGTTTTTTTTAAGATGAGAGATCATGGCTCTGGTTGGGTAGTTCACTTGGTTAGAGCATTGTCCCGAAAGGTCAGGTTGTGGATTCAATCCTGACCAAGACACATACAAAGAATCAACAAATGAATGTATAAATAAGTGGAACAACAAATTGATTTTTCTCTCTTAAAAAAAGAAAGAAAAAAAAAAGATGGGAGATCATGGTCATATGCTGATAACAAAGAGCCTACAGTGAAATAGGGGATCTTTGCAGATAAAAGTAAGAGATGGAATTATCTATAAATCAGTGGGGTTCTCAACTAGGGGTGACTTTGCTCCACAGAAAATATCTGACAATGCTTGGAGACATTTTTGGCTGTCAAAGCCAGGGAATGCTACTGGTATCTAAGATGGAGAGGCAATGGATGTTGCTAAACATCTTAGAATGCCCAGGACAACTCTTCCCAACTAAGAATTATCTGGTCCACAGTGTCAATAGTGTGGAAATTGAGGAATCCTGTTATAAATTCTTGGGAGTGTGGAAGAAATAAAGTCCTAAGAACTTGACACTATAACAAGAGGAAAGCGCGCGCGCACGCGGGGGGGAGGGGGGGGGAATGATGAACATTAAGTGGACTACAGATAAAAAAAATTTTGAGAAAGTATAGCCCTCGAAGGCAACAATAGTTATTATATCAATATACAATTTACTTTGTTCTAAAGAACATATTATTGATTCATAATAAATAAAAGCACCTACACTCTTTAAACAAGGGGAATGAAAGAATTGGGACATTATAAAGTCTTTACAACTATAACTGAGGTTCCTATGATATCTACAATTTCTCCAGAAAAAATAATACCCATAATTTATTCGTTCAACAAATGTATCTATTACACAAACATCTGAGAGCCCGCTGTTTGCCAAACATTATTCTAAGCCCTGGAGATACAAAGCTATTCAAGACATATGGTCTTCCCCTTCAAGAAGTTTAATGAAGGGAGGGGGCTTAAAAAGGGGAGGAGAGACAATTTCATAAGACTGTGAAGGTGATAGGAACACCCTCAGGGGGCTATGAGTGCATATGAAAGGGGAATCTAACCCAGACTTAGGGCAGAGAGGGTGGGGTGGAGGTGGGAGGTCAAAAAAACTCACTGGAAAAAGCTAATTTCCAAAGGAGCTATATATAGAACAGGGGCAGAGAATGGTGTGAAGAAGAAACACACTTCAGAGAGCAGGGTAAATTCTAGCAACTTATAAGGACCATCTATATAGGTGAAGCAAGAAATGAGGAGAAAAAAAAGCAGGAAATATATTAAGAAGAACATTACAAGTTAAAATGTAAAAAGTTAAAATTTTAGAGACAATAGGAAACTACTGAAGATTGTAAACAGAAGCTTGATGTGATCAAATTGCTGAATAAGGAAAACATCAATCACTGGCACACACAACGAATAGACTGGGAATGATATTTAAATAAACACCGAGAAAGCTATTAAGGACTGATGAGCAAAAAATAGGAACTAAACTAAGGTAACAGCACTAATGAGATATTATTAATACAAAGGCAAGATTCAGAGGACTGGTAACTAATTAGACCTGAAGAAGAAGAAAAAGGGAAGACTCAGGAAGACTCTGAAACACCAGTAAAGTAGGCATGAGAGTGGTTATACTAGCAGTTGAAGCAGGAGCAACAATTGAGAATATCCAGCATTTGGTTACTATATGTAGACAGGTCACTAAGATAATAGCCCAATGAGGTAAATATCACTTCCATTTTACATATGAGCAAACAGTAAAGAAATAACTTGTGGTGTTTGAGCTGCAGCTGAAGGAGAAAGTCTCTATACCATGGCTCATACAAAGCAAATTGTCTGCAAACTGACCAGTGGTAAAACACAAGGAAGCAACTGACTACAAAAGCTGCTCCCAAGGTGCGCCCTCTATTGGAGGGGTAAAGAAACCTCATGTTACAGGCCTGTTACAGTGGCACTCTGTAAAATTAAATGTTATCAGAAGTCCATTGAATTTCTGATTTGCAAACTTCCCTCCCAGCATCTGGTACAAGAAATTGCTCAAGATTTCAAAACAGATCTGTGCTTCCAGGTTGCAGCTACTGGTGCTTTGTAGGAGGTAAGTAAAGCCTGCCTAGTTGGCCTTTTTGAATACAATACAATTATGCCAAAAGACATCCAACTAGAATTCCACATATGTAGAGAATGGGCTTAAGAATCCACTAAGATGGGAAGCATTTCATTCTTTAAAAAAACAAACAAAAAAAAAACATCCTTATTGGTTTCACTCAGTGGATAGAGAGCATCAGCCTGCAGACTGAAGGGTCCCGGATTTGGTCAGGGCACATGTGAGAGGCAACTAATATCTATCCTCCCTCCCTCTCCCTCTCTCTCTCTCTCTCTCTCTCTCTCTCTCTCTCTCTCTCTCTCTCTCTCTCTCTCTCTCTCTGTATCCCTCCCCCTTCCACTCTAAAAATCAATGGCAATATCTCTTTGGGTGAGGATTAAAAAAATAATAATTAAAAATTTTCTTCTTCTTCCTATTATTGGTAGTTATAAACGTTAGGTATATTTTCCCCATAGGATCAAAAGGTAGCTAAGTATTTGATTGCAAGTAGAAATGGAGGCTAGAAATCAGGTATTGGCAGTTTTTTCATTTTCATTTGTGTGTGAATTTTAAAGACATAAATGTGGTCACTTATAAAGCATTAATGCAAGTCAAAATGTTTCAGTGAACAAATTTCAGCAGTTCAACTTTAGAATATATATAAAAGCTAATATGATAAGTGTCTGACCAGTTGCTATGACACACACTAACCACCAGAGGGCAGACACTCATCACAAGAGCTGCTGTGACACGCAGAGAAATGGCACCATGGCCCTAGCACCCACACCAGATTGACAGCTCATCAAATCACAGCTGATGCTTCTCAGACCCCAACGTGCACAGCACAGCCCAGCCCAGCCCAGCCCAGCCCAGCCCAGCCCAGCCAGGAAACAGTTGCTGTGGGTCCTGGGTAAGGATGTCACATAGTAATGCCTGGCTTCCTCTCCTTGCAGTTTTTCAGCACAGGAACACCCAGGTGGAAACATTTCACACTTTAACCAAAGTCTATGAAGCGTTTTAGAATTTTCATGCACTGGGCCTCATCTCATTTGATCGTCACAGAAGTCCTGGAGTAGGTAGATAGAAGATTCAGTGGAATCCTATTTTCTTTTTATTAGCCAGAAAACTTAGAAACTTGACCCAACTGAAAAGAAGTAAGAAATGGTGGGCCTTGAAAATAACTTCAGGTTTTCTCACTGCACAGAATATAGTCAAACACAGCTACAGTTAAATATTGTAAGCTTTGTTCTCCCCGTGAGATCTACAATAATATTCTGCTTGGTGTTGATATTTACTGCTGGGTTGCTGATAATTACCTGAAACAGAAGTTGGGATGCCTCACTGGGCTGGAAAAAGTTTAGCTACATCAGAAAGCAGGTCTAATTAAGCAAGCTTATTCTATCCTATCTAACAAAGAGTGAATATGCTAATTGACCCTCATGTTGTCACAAAAGATGGTGATGCCCACAGACAATGAGGGAATATGCTAATTGACTGCCCACCCTCAAAGATGATGGCACCCACAGCCAATAAAGAGGGAATATGCTAACTGACTGCTCCGCCCTCAATGATGATGACACCCACAGCCAATAGGAGGGACTATGCAATTGACTGCCCTGCCCTCAAAGATGGCAGGGCCCACAGCCACAAGTTGGTGACTCCCAGTCTCCTCAGCCCTGCTGGGGTGGCAGGTGCGTGGCTGCTCCACGCCCCTGCCTCCAGAGTTCCCCAGGCCCCTCAGCCCCCTAGATGCCCAGGGCTGGCCCAAGGTGCAGGAAAGCCTCAGATGGTGGCCGCCCAGCCTCCCATAGATGGCCTGAGGTGCAGGCAAGCCTCGGATAGTGGCTGCCAAGCTGCCCAATGAGGCTTGCGCTGCCAGCAGTGAAAGCAGCAAAGGTGTGATACGGCATCATCTTCCCCTGACTGTCGAATTACCTCCCAACCCTGAGGGTTCTTGGACTGTGACAGGGAGCAGGTGGGCTAAGGGAACCCTTTCCAGGGCATGAATTTTCATGCACTGGGCCTCTAGTATCTACAAAAGGCTAAGTTGACTCGCGCATGCCCTATACATATAAAGCTATCAC